CTCCTTCTCGCTCTCTCTCTCTCTCTCTCTCTCTCTCTCTCTCTCTCTCTCTCTCTCTCTCTCTCTCTCTCTCTCTCTCTCTCTCTCTCTCTCTCTCTCTCTCTCTCTCTCTCTCTCTCTCTCTCTCTCTCTCTCTCTCTCTCTCTCTCTCTCTCTCTCTCTCTCTCTCTCTCTCTCTCTCTCTCTTCGTTGTCTCCCCTTCCTTTCCCCTCTCCCGATCCTTGCCACCCTGGCTTCCGCGTGGAGGCTGCAGAAGAAGACGGAGAGCCACGTTACCTGAGAATGATCACTATCATTAACATTCACGGAGGGGGGGGGAGTTTCACTCATCATTCCTGACGGCAGAGACATGGCAGCCGCTATGAAGTGTCCACAGGTGTAGCCCGATGATACATATTACATTGTGCCACAATGGATTTATGTATTCTGTAACAAAAGAAAAGGGTAATGAAAAAATACAGAAGGTAATCCTTTATTCCCCTACCACACAATTTATCAGGCACGCCGGCGGATGATAAGTGCCAGGGATTTTCCTCTGCTTGATTTAACCTTGTCACCCAGGTGTGTTTTTTGTGAAATGATGGGGAGGAAAGAGAGTTAGAAGGCAAGCCAGGTTTTTTTTTTTTTAAGGGGTGACGGCGGTCCTGTCCTCCTGGAGTAATTACTTCTTAACACACACACCCTCCTCCTCCTCCTCCTCCTCCTCCTCCTCCTCCTCTCCAAACACCCACTCACTTCTAGCACTGATGACATACCCTAGTTGGGTCATGAAACATCTGCAAGAAAACCACCAAGCTCAGAGAGCACAAAGGACCCCACAGTTGTCATCGTCGTCGTCGTCTTCCTCCTCCTTCTCCTCGTCCTCTCCGCAAACCCTTCTCCTTTCTAGCACTGATAATATTACCTAGTTGGGTCATGAAACATCTGCAAGAAAACCACCAAGCTCAGAGAGCACCAAGGACCCCACAGTTCAACCCCAAACCCATAAACAATCTAGTCTAAATGTGGTCATCACCCCTGGAGGCCCACCCAACTTTTGGGAGATGTCCCTCTTCCCCCAGCGGGGTGCCTCCTTAAAATGTCAAGGCAGCACCAGTGATAACTAGAGAAAGTACCAAACGAAGGGATGCCTGCCGAGAGGATTCCAGCCACACCAGTCGGTGGAGAGGATAAATCATCGCCACATCTCTGCATTTTTCCCCAGGAATTCCTACAGAACCCAAAGATTCTGCAATAACTTTTGCTTAAAGACCCCCCCCCATTCCCTCCTCTCCTCTCCCATCCCCAAATCCCTGCCTGTCAACCCTCAACTCTGAATAGCTCATTTCGTAGCCCTCCCTGGCCCCTCTCCAGGATAAGCATCTCATTGCTTATAACTTCACAATCTTCCCTGCAGCCGTTGCCAAGTCCTCACTTACTTGAATAGTTCCACTAAATATAGTCAGACGCAAAGCTTTTTTCTTCCCCCTTTCTCTCTCTCTCCCTCTCTCTCTCTCTCAACCCTCCAGCCTGCCCTTTGCTTTCCTTTTTTTAAAAAAAAACCCATAATATTATTGCTTTGATCAGTAAAATAAACTTTTAAAGATTGGTTCTGGGACAGGCTCCAGGGTCTGAGGTAAAGGATGGCTGACGTTCAGGCATGATTCAGTAACCCAAGGATTGGAGCAATTAATTTGTCAGCTTTGGGAGGATGGGGGAGAGGCAGGTTCTGCTCTTGAGATGGAGGGGGTTGTTTATCCTGGAACTGAGGGCGACTGGACGGAGATAAGAGGGAAGGACGGTCTGTTTGGAAGAGCCACAAGCGCTCATAAATCTCTCCTATTCTGGGTTTTTTTTCCCCTTTGTTTGTCTTCTTCCCCAACCTCCATGACTCCGTTTCTGCTGGATGTTGAAGCTGGAGGGTCATAAGTTGGGGACGTTGCTATCAGATATTCTTGAACTGGGTGATCTCCAAGGTCCTTGCATGGACCTTGTAAGTAGTGAGGTCTTCTCTGGATTGTACTATTGGAGGGCTGTGTTGGAAAACCAAAGTGGGAAACTATGAATATTGTGATCCATCCATCCATCCATCCATCTATCCACCTACCCAATCATTCTGTCTATTCATCCATCCATCCATTATATTTGTCTGTCTATCCATTCCATCCGTCCTATCCTTCCATTCATCTACCTGTTCATTCTACATATCTATTCAACCATCCATCAATCCATCCGTCCTGTATAACTCTCAGTCTGTCTCTTGTCTATTCCATCCATCCATCCATCATATCCATCCATCTCCTTCATTCTTTCTGTCTGTCCATTCATCCATTATGTCTGTCGGCCTGTCTGCCTATCTATCTATCTGAAATATTTCCAAGCCACCTTCTGACACAAAACACACCCCGGTGTTAGGAAAGCAAAATATAATCTCTTTGCGATTTTAAAACCTCTGCTCCAAAAGAAAGTCGGGGTAACCATTTCTGAAGGGAAGGGCTTCTTGACTGGGATAAAATCATGAAGACAGGAAAGCTTTGGGCCAGACTAATCACGCACGGCCCAAAGTCATGGCTGCCTCAGTGGGGACACCCCAAGGAAAGCTCCACTCTTAGTTAAATGTTGCCATTGTTAGAAGTGATAGACCAGGGGTAGTCAACCTTGGCTCTTTTATGACTCGTGGACTTCAACTCCCAGAATTCCTGAGCTCAGGAATTCTGGGAGTTGAAGTCCACGAGTCATAAAAGAGCCAAGGTTGACTACCCCTGTGATAGACCTTGTTGATACCCGCCCAATAACAGCTTCCATCTGACCTTATCCGATCTTGAAAAGCTAAACCAGGTTGGATTTGATTCCTTATTTAGATGGGGGAGCCCATAAAACTAGACTGAATTGGGAAGTTGAGCAGGGGCGAGGAGCAAAGTGTCCCTGAATCCTTCAGCAGTGGACCTGAAGGAGACATCTCTTAGCAGATGTTGAAAGCTGTTGCTTTAATGACCTCATCCCGACGGGGCTAGGAGCCTCTATTTGTTCTTGGCACTTTAGCAGCATCCCAAATGTTTAAACATTTGACTTGACGTTCACCCAGAGCCTCCTTAGCTTTGCGGAGGCTAAAACACAGCACTAAAAAAAAAAAAAAATGATTTCCACCCAAGTTCAAAGCAAGAGGCTCTTATGTGTTTTTCATCAGAGTGGGTTTTTTTTTTTCTTCTTTCCCCTGTCCTTCCCTCCTTCTTCCAGACCTGGGAGGGCAGAAATGGCTGTTTTTCCCTTTAACTTTTCTCGTCCTCCTCTCTCTCGTCACCCGGCCTCCCCGTTGCAGCCCTTTTTCTTAACATTTATTTTGGAGTTAGGCCAAGAAAGCACCAGCGCAGCAAATCTCGGGCGTATTCTTGCCGCTCTCCAACTTTGCCCTCGCACAGCTGTCTTAAATGTCAAGGAAAGGTTTAGTCTGAAACCCAAGCCAGAAAGCTTCGCAGTCTGTTAAATAGGAGAGGAATTGGGAAGTGGGGGGGAGTTTCCTACCCTACTTAACTCTCTCCAGGCAAGGGTGCTCTGTCTAAGGGAAAGTTCCCGGCGGATTAATGAGTCTCTGTAAATCATCAAACTTTTCTCAGCGTCAACCTATCATGTCCATGTGTATTTCTGTGCCACGGAAGGAATAGGTTGAGCTGTGAAAGCTGTGTTTATTGACCAGGTATGAAGGCAGAGTTGGATGTAGGGACAAGGGGTGGGGGGAATAAGGGAAAAAGATTCCCCCCATCCCTTAACCAACCGGGACAAGGTATCTTTCAGAGTAGAGTAGAGTAGAGTAGAGTAGAGTAGAGTAGAGTAGAGTAGAAAAGAATAAAGAGAATAGAGTAGAGTAGAGTAGAGTAGAATCCAAAATAAATAGAATAGAATCCAAATTGAATATAGAGTAGAGTAGAGTAGAGTAGAGTAGAGTAGAGTAGAGTAGAGTAGAGTAGAGTAGAAAAGAATAAAGAGAGTAGAGTAGAATCCAAAATGAATAGAATAGAATCCAAATTGAATATAGAGTAGAGTAGAGTAGAGTAGAGTAGAGTAGAAAAGAATAAAGAGAGTAGAGTAGAGTAGAATCCAAAATGAATAGAATAGAATCCAAATTGAA